TTTTTTTTTTTTTTTTGAGACAGAGTTTTGCTCTTGTTGCCCAGGCTGGAGTGCAATGGTATGATCTGGGCTCACTACAGCCTCTGATTCCAGGTACAAGCAATTCTCTTGCCTCAGCCTCCTGAGTAGCTGGGATTACAGGTACGTGGCACCAGGCCCTGCTAATTTTGTATTTTTAGTAGAGATAGGGTTTCACCATGTTAGTCAGGGTGATCTTGAACTCCTGACCTCAAGTGATCCACCCACCTCGGCCTCCCAACGTGCTGGGATAACAGGCATAAGCCACCACACCTGGCCAAAAAGTCTCATGTTTTAAGAAACTTTAAAGTTTTGTTGGGCTGTGGGTTGAACAAGCTTAGTCTAGCCTACGGCCCCTGGGCTGCAAACCTGTACTGCATGTGACTGTCCTTAACACTGCAGGCAGCTGTAACACAGTGATGAGTGCTTGCATATCTAAACATAGAAAACATTATGTGTGACGCTAAGACACCAGGTGATTGGAATCTTTTCAGCTCCATTATAGTCTTCTGCAACCACTGTCATACATGCAGTCCACCATTGAGTGAACTGTCATTATGCAGGGCATAACTGTGTACATGTACATAGATGCATGCAGTTATGAAGCCTAGCAATGAAAGGTACACCTGAGAACCCACCCCTGAACTTAGGAAAGAAATCGTTGGTCACCCTGACAATGGCCTCTTGTGTTCATAATACTTCCTGCCCCTTGTGCCCCAGATGGAACCACTGGACTGCATTTTGCCTTTATCATTTCCTTGCTTTTATTGTTGGTTTAATCACATATGTATGTATTGCTAAACACAAGATAATTTAGTATTGTTTATCTTTCATTTTTAGTAAAATGTATGATGCTAAGTGTATACTTTTGCAACTTGCTTTTTTTCACTTATGTTTCTCAGATTTCTCCGTGTTGATAAAAAGAAGCTGTCGAGCTCATTCATTTCTACTGCTGTATGGTACAGTAAGTCCTCACTCAGTGTCCACAGGTTCCTGGAAACAACAACTGTAAGCGAAATGACATAGAGCAGGTCCTCAGACAACATCATTTCCTTCAACAACGCTGGTGAGGAAAACACACTGGTTTTGTTACACGCTGTTTTGCTAAAGCTGCAGTTTCCAAGAAGCTATCAATGACATTAAATGAGGACTTAATGTATTCCACAATTTATTCACTTTCTTGTTGATGGATATTTCAATTATTAATCTTTTAAAAACTATTTTGAACAATTGTGCTATGAGTATTTCTGTACATACCCCCCTAGCCCACATGTGTCAGAGTCTGTCAAGGACATTCAGGAGTGGAATTGGTGGGCTGTGGGGTAATTTCTGGGTTGCTGAGAGCATATTCAAGTTTAGAAGACAACTTCAAGCTTTTTTTTTTTTTTTTCAGTCTTGTTGCCCAGGCTGGAGTGCAATGGCATGATCTCAGCTCAATGCAGCCTCTGCCTCCCGGGTTCAACCAATTCTCCTGCCTCAGCTTCCTGAGTAGCTGGTATTACAGGTCCCCCTCACCACGCCTGGCTAATTTTTGTATTTTTAGTAGAGATGAGGTTTTGCCATGTTGGCCAGGCTAGTCTCACACTCCTGACCTCAGGCGATTGTGTGCTTCAGCCTCCCAAAGCGCTGAGATTACAGGCATGAGCCACCATGCCCAGCCCGACAACTTCAAGCTTTTTTTTTTTTTTGAGACGGAGTTTCGCTCGTTACCCAGGCTGGAGTGCAGTGGCACCATCTCGGCTCACTGCAACCTCTGCCTCCTGGGTTCAAGCAATTCTCCTGCCTCAGCGTCCCGAGTAGCTGGGACTACAGGCACATGCCACCATGCCCAGCTAATTTGTGTATGTTTAGTAGAGACAGGGTTTCACCTTGTCGACCAGGATGGTCTCGATCTCTTGACCTCGTGATCCACCCGCCTGGGCCTCCCAAAGTGCTGGGATTACAGGCGTGAGCCACCGCGCCCGGCCAAGCCTTTTTAATATGATTCTCCCAACCTTAACTCCCACTGGCAATGTGAATTCTCGTTGTTTCTCAGGCTTCTACCACAGTTCAAATGTAAGCATTTCAGTTCAGCCCTACGCCTGGCTGATTCCTTTTCCCAAATATTTCTCAAATTGTGAACAGCAGAAAGAGGACTGGTTTTAGAGCAAGCCCTGGGCTCAATGTCCAGCCCTGACACTTAGTGTGTACACAGTTTGCGCAATTATTGAGCTTCTCTGGACCCATTTCCCATGTGTAAACCAGGCAGAATAGCTCCCATCTCAAAGGCTGAAGCGAGGAATGAATGAGATAACCTATGTGAGGCACAAAAGCAATGCTTGTGACACTAAGTCCCCACCAACGTTCAGCTGTCCAAATGAGGGTACAAGCAGCTGACGGCTGAGAGCCGCCTCCGTGCCACTGCCTTCCCACTAGACCTTGTCCAACTTGTGCTGTGCCTCTTCCCATGCTCCCTGCACACAGCGGCACACCCAGCCGCAGAGGCCGCCCAGGGCCCACCCACACGGGCACACAGAGAGTTATTTTTTGCAGGGTTTTTCCACACACCAGAATCTCACAGGTCCCTCTGGTACTGCAGTAACTAAATTCCTTTGGATAGGGCCCAAGGAGGATATCATATATCAAATTCAGCTTTGAAATAATGATCATTAGGATTAACCAAGGGTGTTTTGACACCATGGATCTTTCATGGACAATTCTGTAAACAGCATCCTATCTGATTACTGCCTTTGGTGGGTTTATTCTGGAGAGGTCCTCTAAAGAGAGCAACCCAGAGGAATTCTGGCAAGGCAGCCCAAAACCTCTTCCTCCTGCCTTTCCTGTCAAATCAATTTCTCTTGGCGATCCAATTTTTAAATGTTTTCCTTCTATTTATAGGACCCTTGAAAAATCCCTTGTCATTTCCATTTTGACTGGTTCATCTTATGTAACTAAAGCACTCATGTTAACAAACATTTAGTGATTCCTACATCCTGTAAGACACAGTGTTTGGTGCTGTGGGTAAAATGAAGAATAAATAAGACGAGGTCCTCAGCCTGGCTCACAACACCACGGCTGACGCACCTGAGCAATTACAGCAGCATCTGGAAGCATCACATCTGAGGCTCTAAGAGCTGCTCAAGGAGCTCAGATCAAGGTGGTACATCTGAGTTGGCACGAGAAGGCGAGGTCCTTAACACCGAGCGGACTCTTGCCCCTGAAGGAAAGGGGAAAGAAGCCCTGCTGAGCACAGTCCTGGGAGTGGCTGGCTCTAAAACTGCTGAATAGCTGGGCATGATTGCTCACGCCTGTAATCCCAGCAATTTTGGAGGCCAAGAAGGGAGAACTGCTTAAGCCCAGGAGTTTGAGAACAGCCTGGATGACATAAATT